GCGTCTTCCATTTAAATATGAAGTACGGGCGAAGCTTTTGCCCATCTGACGTGTAACAGAGCATTGCCGTCACTGTAGTTTTACCGTGGACCGATGTCAGCACGCGAACTTGCTTCGCCCCCTTCTTCTCGACGGTTGTGGTGCCAGGCATGTCGAAGTAAAGAGGCGTCTAATCGGCATTCCCGATTTGCCCAAGAAGGTAGCCGTTGTTGCGCCGCAAGTTTAGAACGAACCTCTGAAAACTGTGAAGCTTTTCATCGTACTCCTCCGCAAAACTTTTCGCATATGCATGTTCCCTTTCGGAGGGAAAAGCCTTTCCTCTTCATAAAGTTAGTTAGCCAGCACCTGCTCGCTTTAAACTGGCTCCGCATTAGACCTTTTTCTAAGACTAATTGCATAGCCCGCACTTGGAGCAGTTCTGTCGTCCCGGGCCGCTGTGCCGCTCGCTGCTCAAGCACATACTCGCCGAGCAGCTCTTTAATTTGCGAAAACCGACCCTGCTCTGGTCCACTGAAGCCTTTGCGTGAAGCTTTGCTGTCGACAATCTTCTGCTTTTGTTTCCGCCGGTCCCGCACGCACGTTTCGGGAACTCCGAACGACCGCGATGCGGCCTGATTTCCGTCCGTTTCTGCACACGCGATGACTTTTCTTTTAAAAGCGGCATCGTGGTGCGCTCGAGTTTTTGGAGTCGGCCCTTCGACGCCGTCGATGCTAATGCACTACTAGATGACGAACTCCTCAGCACACGTACGAAATGCCGCACATGGGAAACACATAGGCAGAAATGGCCGACGCGCCATGCCGACGCACGTAGGGGCGGCCATTTTGGATTTGCCGATGGCAATAGATTGACCATAACTTTTTTGTTCGTACTCGATTCTAACGCGCATGCGATTTATGAACTGGCTTAACCGGAAAAAAGGTGCGCGTTAGATTCGAGTAATTACGGTAAGCTTTTGAAATTGTTCCCAGTTGGCTTTATTTACCAGCCATTTGGGAACATGTGGAGGACATTCATTTATTATTGGTGTACTCAAAACTAAAGGGAAATGGTCCCTTCCGTATGGATTATTTATGACTTTCCACTGAAGTAATGGTACAAGTGAAGGAGACGCGATACTGAGGTCTATGGAAGAGTAAGTTTTTTTGGCAAGGTTATAGTATGTTGCCTCTTTCCTATTCAACAGACAAGCACCCGATGAAATGAGGAATTGTTCAATGAGGCGACCTCGGGCATCACAGCGAGAGTCACCCCACAGACCATTACGTGCGTTCAGGTCCCCAAGGACCAGATAAGGTTCAGGTAGTTCGTCTATTAAAGACTGGAATTGAAGTTTTTCGAGACGGTGGTGCGGAGGTATGTACAAAGAACAGACAGTGACAAGTTTGTTTAGAATAACTGCTCGGACAGCCACCGCCTCGAGGGAAGTTTGAAGGGGTAATTGTGTGCATGCTATACCTTGACTTACTATAACCGCTACACCACCGGATGGTAGCATGGCATCATCTCTATCCTTTCGGAAGATTATGTAGTTACGTAAAAAGTTTGTGTTAGTTCGTTTTAAGTGTGTCTCTTGTACACACAGCACTCTTGGATTGTGTTTATGGAGGAGTTCTTGTAAGTCATCGAGGTTTCGAAGAAGGCCTCGGATGTTCCACTGTAATATTTCTGTCTGCATATTTAAACAAAAGAGATGCTGCTGTGTGTACAAAGAGTATCCTGTGTTGGAGTGAGCTCGTTAATTCAGGTGGCAGGACGGTCGTCCGGCCCCGTTATTGGTTTTTATTTTTCTTGGCACGCTCCAAGGAGGCGCGCCGCTCTTTTGGTACCAAGGGTACCGTTGTATCCATTGCCTCCTCAGAGGCACTGGATGTCCGCACATGCGAGCTGGTGGTTCGGATTTTAGGCCTCGCCTGGTGAGGGGAGGCCTTGAGACCGGAGGACCCTGGAGTCTCCGACCTCAATTTGCTTGAAGGCGGAGTAGACTGAACTACTGCCGCCTTGGGGGCAGGCGCCACAGCCGATGGCTCGCTCTGCGCTGGCCGAAGGGGTGGCGAGGGCTGGTGCGGCGTTGCCCCCTGACGCGCCGCATCAGCATATGTTGCGCCGTAAAATGGCGACACTCTTCGTCTTGCTTCTTTGAATGTGATGTTTTCTTTGACTTTAAGAGTGATGATTTCTTTTTCTTTCTTCCTGTTAGGACACGAACGCGAATACGCGGCGTGTTCCCCATCACAATTCACGCAGTGGGGCGTAGTAACACAGTTATCAGATGGGTGGCCGTGGCTACCACATCTTGCACAAGTTTCCTGACCCCGGCAGTTCTGCGAGCCATGACCAAATCGTTGACATTTATAACACCGTCTTGGATTGGGAATGTAGGGACGGACAGATAGTTTGATGTAGCCTGTGTCTATAGATGAAGGCAGTGTGCTAGATGCGAAGGTGAGTATTAAATGTTTGGTAGGTATTTCTTTGTTGTCTCGTCTGATGACAATTCTTTTCACATCTGTGACATTTTGCTCTTTCCACCCTTCAAGCAGTTCCTGTTCAGACATTTCAAGAAGGTCTGCTTCTGAAACAACTCCGCGTGAGGTGTTCATTGATCTGTGAGGTGAAACAGATACTGGGATATTACCAAATGCTACGAGACTGCCAAGTTTTTCATAGTGGTGTTTTTCAGGCAGCTCAAGGAGAAGGTCTCCGCTAGCCATCTTTGTAACCTTGTATCCTGGGCCAAAGGCTTCAGTCAGAGATTTAGCAACAAGAAATGGAAGATATGGCTCTGGCTTGTTTTGTTGGGTTTTCGCTGTGCACAACATGGAATTTGGGAAAGCATCGTCTGGGTTGGCTGAAAATTGATATGTCATCGGTGCGTCCCCTCTTAGGCGGAAGACGATCTAGGAGACGGGGAAATGCAGGTGTTCCCATGGTAGTGTACTTTTTTTTCGGCAGCAATGGCGACCACCCACCATGGAGTCCAACCAGGGGACACTGAAGCACTTAATAGCATAAGGCTGCAGACGCCAGCCGTACATTGCCACTATAACCAAATATAACTACTCAAGGTTAATTACACAAGGTTAACCCTTGCCGCCAGGAAAAATCGGAAGTAAATGGAAGGGAGAAGAAGACAGGACAGATTTAAAGACGAGAAAAGACTAAGATGTAGGAATAGAGAGATAGGAAAAGGCGACTGCCGATTTCCCCTGGGTGGGTCAGCCCAGGGGTGCCGTCTACGTGAAGCCAGGGCCAAAGGGGTGTGTTGCCTCTGCCGGGGGGCCTTAACGGTCCAATCACCCAGCGTCGACTCAACCCCCAGGATCCCCTTTACCCCGGACACGGCAAAGCCACGCACGGCTAGGCGTAGGAGGGAGTAGAAACTCCCCCGTTAGCTCGGGTCCGTGGTGTCGCTACACACCAAACGCCTACTTGCGCAGGCGCCCCTGCGGGGATTCATCCTAAACAACATGCATGGATGAATCTTATTTAATGAATCCACAGAATAATGTAATATTGATTAGGTACAGGTGCAGCTCCTCCTTACAATTAAGTATTGCTCAGTTGATAAAAGTTTACTCTATAGACGCTTCAGCGAAACTTAATTGATGCGAGAATAGCTTTCCCGATGTTCCGTATGACAGACATAGCAGACGACACTCACTCACCCATCTCAATGTGACCGCAGCGCCCCTGCTGCGCGGGGTACGAGAAGGGCCTGCTTCCCATCGCTGCGACCGGGCGCACTTACCCAACTTCTTACAGAATTCAAAAACCTTGATTGTACTGTGAAGATGTCCGTTGCTACATATCTTGCCGCTACTGCTTTGTTCAGGTGTTGATGGAGCAGTGCTCTTATGAGCAACTGGATTAAGGGAGCATCACGATTCCCCGAAAGGCACATCAAAGTTCACATTTATCACTAAATTGCTGCCAGTGTGGGTGCGCTCCTGTTCTTGGTTCTACATCATGCTTGTAGAAACATAGATCAATGTATACTGCACGGTAGAAAACACGGACCATAAATACACAGGCAATAAATAGATAACAACAAGCGCAGTATACATTGATCATGAATCACCAACTGGCCCACTTTGGCAAACACAGAAGCCAAAAAGCATGAGAAATTGTTGAGGCCGCACTAACTGTCGGTCCTGCCTCAGTGACACATCACGATAAGAAAATTTCATATGTGGCATGTGTGTGCTTTGGTGTATGAATGAAAAGAGGGTCTGATATTTTCTTTGTGTATGCATCATATGGCTAGGCACTGTATGCCTTACCTTCAATTAAAAAGCTCAGTTGAGTGTCATCACTTCCTGCCATTTCCTTCCAGTGTGCGTCATCTAGTTTTTCCCACTGCTTACTGCCATGGGTTCATACCAATTGGCCATGCTCACTGCATGAGAATAGGTCGCAGAATGTCACACTGGACGAAGCAGAAGTCCCACACCAGCTACAGCTTTTCTTCTCGCACGGAGAATCTGGCAGAGCCCAAGAATTATTAAGAAGAAAGGAATGTTATCATCATTACGTCAGCCAAACCTGCACATGACAGATGCACATGTGCCACCTTTGCTTCTTTTCATTCTTTCTCTTTAAATATTTTCGAGATGAGAGTCTATAAACTGATTTACTTCCTGCTACATGGGCGGCAAGTGTAGCAAGGAAGCAAACTTCTCTTTTTCTTACTATAGAGTAGGCTGAAGGATGAGAGGCAACCCTTGACATCATGCAAGCAGTACTTTCATGTAACACTGAAGCAGATAAAAGCATACTGTGGCACTGTGAAATTAGAATCAATAAACTATTGCTTTTGCTTTGTTTTCCATTTGAGTACATTCAGACACACAATGAAAATAATATCTGGCAGCACCTCAGACGATATAAAGCAGAATAATCTAGAAAAATACTTGACCTTCTTCGAGATCATCAACATCCCTGCTTTTGTGGATTGTTGGAGTGTTATGTGTGCAATATTATAACTTGAAGTACTCACCCTTTCTAGCAGGGACAAAGTGGCCTTGAGGGCACCCTCCGGCCTCCCGAAGGGAAAACAGTATCTGCACAAAACATTTGCGAACCTCAATCTGCATCCTGCCATCCAAAGGTCACTTCATACCATAGTAAGGCATGAGGTAGAACACTTGTTGCGTCTTATGAATACACTACGAATGAGTCAAAGTATTTCCTAGACTGGGGCCTTCAAGTTTGCCAGTCATTGCTTGATAGGTAAGAGCTGAATTAACAGCCTATCAGTACGTGCTAACAGTTCGTAGATGTGAAAGGTGCATCATAGCTATTTCCATCAGTGCTTTGATAGCTGAGCAGCTCTATGGCTTGCCTATTTCCTAATGAAAGTATTTAGACTGCTATATCACTTTTTTAGTGGTGCTAAAACCCACTTCAGGATGAGAAATACTGGAATTAAAACTTGGCAGTACTTGATGAACCACAAGACATTGAAGTTGAGAGGCACAGTGACGTTCGTTGAAAGTAGAAGTAATAAAAGACTATTATGACTGTCCATGCACATTTTTAGGTTATCAATGTAGCTGGGGAATGTGGGTACTTTTTTCAGCTTGTAAGTGTTGGTTTCCTGAACCATTTCCATTCAATATTCACAGAACAGGCCCTCTCTTTGAGATGAGCGCAACAGTGCTTTCATCAAAACCACGTCCCTGTCGATCATGATTGATTTATCGATATGTGGGGTTTAACGTCCCAAAACCACCAATGAGAGACGCCGTAGTGGAGGGCTCCGGAATTTCATCAGCTTTCAAGAAGATCACTTCTTTGATCATAAGCTCGACTTTACAAAACTCCGAGCACTCCTTGAATGCAGGGCATCAAGCTCCTTCCTCTGAAGATAACTCTGGATTGCAAGAAACACCAGAAGCTTCACCAGCATCCTTGTTTTGCATGTTTACAGCATGCACCACTGCCCAACGTGTTCTGTGCCTCTCACTTTCAAGGGCTTCTTTCTGGCGTTAGGAGTCCTTAGTTTATTGGAGAAACAGCACCCAGACTTAGTAGTGCCCACCTACAACGTGAAATTCCCAAGTGTTCTCATCAAGGATGTGCTCACAGCAGATGCTTCAAAATGCACGTCACATATTTAGGTGTTGAGTATAACCGGAATCACCTCCTTCTAAAATGCTTTCATCCCACAACACGACGCCGCCTTCAATCAGCGCACATTGGAACATATGTACCCCCTCCAGATCAAATTTTTTCGAACATGGTCCAACAATAATTCTTGCAGACACACTCTTAAAAGCAGTGTACAGTATACTCTCTTTAAAGCAAACTCCAAGAAACCATGATCATTTGCTAATCATAGCCCGACCTCATGTTATCAGAAGTGCTCCTCAAAACCAAACGTTAACATGCCAAGTACAACAAAATATGTTGCTTGAAAACACTTAATAAAGTATATTTACAAAGGGGAGGAGAGGATAAAAAAAACAGCATTTGTTGGGCTCGACTTGACAACAACTATGCTTTACGAGTAGAGTAATTAGACTAATTTAACAAGTACTCAATCGCATGAGTTCCTAATAAATATGTTCATGAATAAATTGCTACCACATTTTAACATTAAAACTATAGCACGACCCTATTTCGTTGATCAGAAAAAGATAAAGAAAGAGAAACAGCACAACTTTCCTTCAAAGAATGGAAAATTTATTCTTCTGGCTGTTCACCTTCTTGCTATTGCTTTTGGATACACCTCTATTGCATACTGCTACCTTGACAAAGCCAATATATGCCAAGTCGCTCAGGCAAGTCTGCAAGCTATTCTTGAGCTTTGGATGTTTTCTAGGCTTGGGCGAATATTTGAATGCTCTGAAAATACGAACAAATAATGAAGTATTTGAATTCGCTTCGAATCGAAATGATTAAAAATTTCAAATTATTCGAGACGAACAAATGAATGCATCAACCAACATGTCACACTCTGTAAAGGTGGTTTCACTGCACTAGAAAAGTACTAAACAGCGAAAGCACCTATCTAAGCACATATTAGTTGAATTTAATTCACATATAACATTTTGAAAAAATGACTTCACTGCTCTGAAGTGGACCTAAGCCGTGAAAACACATAATCAGGAGAAATCTGAATTGCCGCAAAGCTGTACTTCAAGGTTACATGAAGATGTCACCCTCTCACCAATTAATTTTTTTCAGTTGAAAAGCTCCTTATACTGACTCATATACTATAGCAAGTATAGCAAATTTTAAAAGTCAACCTATTTCACAGGCTATCACTTACATTTTATGGAAAGTCAAATCCTGCTACTATTCAAAGTTGTTTCCATTTCCTTTAATACATAAAAAATGGCATTTACACAGGCCTTGTTTGAACTTTCAAAAAATATTGCGCAGCTTAGTTTAGTCATGACAAATATGCACCTGTTTCTATATAATATGTGATATATACAGTATTCAAATCTGGTTTGAAGTTATACGACCAAAACTACTATTTGCTTTAAATTCGCTTGAAACCTAAAATTTACTATATGCCCAAGCAAAAGATTTTCTTATTTTCAGCCCGCAGTAACTTTTTCTGAACGACATGCATCTGAAGATCTCTTTTTATGCTACTCACAATCACAAGCCTCGGGCACACAAGAAAGACGACGCAGTTATATTTAGTGTGAAATATTACCTTCCTTGATCGCGCACTCTAATAATGAAAATGGAGCATCACAATTTGCTGCATTTCCTGGAAAACCACATGTGCTCCGGCACCATTGTGTGATGGTGATGACAATGCATCTAACTCCTCTGATGGGAATTCTAGTGCCCCATATGTAGTTTTGGTTCCATGGGATTGTAATGCACAGAAAATGTTTGTTCCCGTTCTCACTTTCATTTGGCCTTTTTCACCCCCCCCCCCCACCTCTTATCTTGCATTTTCCCCTGTTCTCCCCTGTACTTCAGTAGGGGAACTGAAGAATTCGAGGAGAACACAAAAGGATGAACGCTTTTTGTTGCTTTCTTTGCTGATGAAGCCGGCACTTTCTCCACCTACAGGCTAGGGGGTGAGGGAGAAACCAGCTTTATGCACCGACTTTTCTTTTCCACTTATTTCACTTTCTCCGTCGAAGTCAAAATTTGGTTTCAATATGTCTTGAGTGTTTGTGCCACAAAGGTTGCATTTTTACTTTGCTTTTTCTTGTTCACCTGAATGCCCCCATCAAGACTATAACGTTCGTTGAGTCGATGGGAAACCAAACGCAGACTTGATCCCGTGTTGCTCATTTTAAGCAAGAATTTAATTTAACAGAGCTCGTTTCAACGGAAGTTTACTGTATGTAAGTGTGCGTTCAAGAACACCGGATGGTCAAAACATATAAGGAGCCCTTCCCCATTTGGAGTCCCTCATAATCATATCATAATTTTTGTAAGTAAAACTCGAGATAATATTACATTACTTTTAAAGGGGTAAGACTAAAATGAGATCTAACAGACAATCATGTCAATGAAAGAGAAAGGGATGTTATTAGAAGTAATTGTAATGTAAATATGAAGAAAGAAAAGTGGACAGAAAGGTAACTTGCCCAAGGCTGGGACCGAACCTGCGATTTTCGAACGCGTCCGATGCTCTACCAACTCAGCTACCATAGCGACTATCCCCCCATCGAATTTAAGGGGTGTATATGAGCATTAAACGTGGCAGCAAATACTCAGCGTCACCAGATGCCATGACGACGAGTGAACACTCTTTATCTGCCTGTTTGGCATCACATAGCACATGAACTTATTACGATTTGGCAGCTGACCAATAATTCTTTGTATACTATCTCAAGGTGCCAGAACAAGACTCTAGCTATGAATGAAGGAAAGAATTGTACATTTAAGTGCTCGTTTTCTTTGATAGACACAATACTAATGAGATCTAGCAGACAATCATGCCAAGGAAAGTATAGGGGATGTTATTAGAAGTAATTGTAATGTAAATGTGGACAATTAAAAGTGGACGAAAAGATAACTTGTTGTGGGCAGGGACCGAACCTGCAACCTTCAAATAACACATCCGATGCTGTACCAACTGAGCTACTGTGGCGGGTACCCCATTAATATTTTGTCGAGCATCTATTTATTTATTTGTTCACAATACCTTGCAGGCTCCTTATCAGAGCATTGTGTAAGGGGGCGATACATGGTTACGTATGACATATGATAAATATAGAAAAATACGAAACCTCAACTATACATTCTGAAAGGTGCACAGACATACTGCAATTTAATCGAGTGCCAGAAAAGGGAGAGTAACACCGAAGTATTAAAAATAAATAAATTGAGAAGAAGCATGCATGAAGTGGCCAAAAAGCGAACTGAATTAACATTAATACTCAATGATTGAAAAACAAAGCAAAATTGGCAATGTTTACAATATTAAAATGTGATATAATACAGCGTTACACAATATTTACGCAACATAATGCCACTTGCACGTAGTGGGTCAACAGCAGGAGCGGCTCTCAATCTGGAGGAAAAAAGATCGCCTGCTTCTTCTCTGCTCGAGAGCCAGCCACGACTGACACATCGTCCTGGAGCTAGCTACTCGGTGCTTTAATAAACCCCCTAGTACTTCTGACTCATCGTGACAAACTGGTGGAGATGCTGAGTAGTCTGGGTGGAGTCTGGGTGCTGGGTGGAGATGATGCGGACCCCCCAGGGAGCCGTGATACGAGTCCAGTGCCAGTCCACACCCCCGTGCATCAGACCAGCCACCGAATCAGGGGATTGCCTCCGGAAGTTGACGACACTGCTCCCACCACGTCGATAAATATGACCACCACTTCGGTGCAAACCTCGCCAACCGGCACGGTAAGCTTGACGTCGAACCGCTATACGTTGGAATGCCCTTGGGTACCAGCGACGTTCCATGGCACAGAGTGAGGGGACGTTGAGGACTGGTTGGCAGACTTCAAGCAAGTAGCCACCTTGAATCTGTGGGACGACGCGGTGAAACTGGGTCGTGTCTATTTTTATCTCAAAGACAGGGCACGTATGTGGTATCAAAATTGAGAGGAGCAGCTGACAACATGGC